CCTCTTCAATTTTTGAAACATTTGACACCTTGTGTCTTCTATTTACCTCAAGACTCTCAATCTTCCTAGGCAACTTGACAATTTGGAAAGTAAGTCTTCCCGGTCCCCCAAGTCATAAATCCCTCCCCCATGAGTTTGGCTATTCCCTTGAGGAGAAGACCTTGGTACATCGGTGGAATCCGTAATATCCCATGATTATGCATTCTGTGCCCCAATTTATCAAAGTAATCTAAGGTCTCATTGGGATCTTTGTTCAAAAACTCTCCATTACACATCATGTTGATGCCCCGGTGTGATTCCTTCGTAGAAGAAGCTCACCAATTGCTATGATTCAAAGCCATGATGTGGAATGGATTGTAATAATTCCTTGTACTGATCCCAACATTGGTAGAATTGTTCATTGGATTTCTCCGAAAAGTTTTGAATTTGTTTTTTTAGAGCGGTGGTTTCATGCTCCAGAAAAAAATTGTTTAAAAACTCGGAGAGCATTTGGTTCCAAGATGTTATGAATCGAGGTCTCAAGAAATTAAGCCGTATTTTTGCCTTATCTTTTAGGGAAAAGGGGAATAATTTCAGCCTAGTTATGTCTTTCATACCATAATTGGTGAGGAAGGTTGTAACTATTTCCTCGAAATTCTTTATGTGCAAATAGAGGTTCTCCTTCTCAATTCCGTGGAACGTGGGGAGTAGTTGCAACATCCCCGGTTTAACTAGGAAGAAATGATCTTGGACTGAAAGGAGGATGCATGAGGGTGTGGTGCTTCGTGTGGGTTGAAGGAAATCCCTCATTGACCTCGTCGGAGGCTCAATGTGAATGTTGTTCCCTTTATTCACGGAAGAGGGAAATTGCATTCTCGGATTGGGCATTCTAGGTTCTTGTCCTTCCCCTCCCTGTTGCATGCTTGGATTGACACCTATATTCTCAAAATTATCAATCGCATCCTCGGGTGGGTCTTGGTCAATGTTCATATTGAGGCCCAAGGGTTGTCTAACTAGTCGGTTTTGTTCGTTCCTTATCCACATATAACAAACTAACTAAAAATAGAGAATGTAAACAAACAAAAGTATATATAAGGATCAATGTACCTCAGCTCATGATGAACATCACAGGACTTACCTCCGTTGTCTGGAAATCACCTTTCTGATTCAACACTTGCCTTTCCCATCAATAGCGTAAAAAATGCTTATTTGTTTCCGTCGGTAGTATATCTTAAACTCCGAATATCATTCCTCAATGCATATAATCTATGTGTAGAGGGGAGTGTCACTTTCCCTTAGAATGATGTCAAAAGAAAGGACAACGGAATGATGGGTGAATGAAATGTGTGTATGAACAAAAATGCTCCCTAAGTGTAGAGGGACTTTTGCTTGTTGTGTTTTACTTGAAATTATATTCCAAGGTCGTCTCCTCAGGGAAGGAGGTGCATCATCATGAAAGTGAATGTTATAAAAATAAAGTGTAAAATTTTTTGTTGGTGTTTTAATGTAAGTAGTGATAGAGACCAAAATGACTGGAACTCTTGAGATTTAAAGTGATGATTTTTTACAGATTTTTCCTAGGCCGAATATACAATTCTTTCCAAGAGGATTTTCTAGACAAAATATAAGATAATTTCAAATGTAAAAAGTCACTCTTTTGTTCGACGATCTGGATATATAGTCAACCATCCGGTTTATTATACTTGTGCTTGGGAACACAATTAATCACCATGTTAACATGAAGTTAATCAGAAGATAAAGATGGACTGTGATGATTAATAACATGGTTCCGATGTCTTTGTAGAAGTTTACAAGAATTGTCTGTGCCGAGATTCAACCCGTCTATAAACAAGCAAGTGTTTCTACAAGACATTCAATTATTGCATTAGTTTTTCATTCTTTAAATGAAGCACAATAATGGTGAAGATTGAAGGTTAGGTATGAAGATCTAGTCGAGATACTTGCCTTGAACCAATGAATCTTTCTATGCAAGAGTCATCTGTGTTATAGAAAGTACTCACAGTTATACAAAATACCTTAGCTTTGCTAGATGCATTCAATCATTTAATAAGCAAGCGAAATATAAAGTATTAAGTATAGATTAAATACACAAATATGACTTTTGGATGATTTATACATGTTCATCACCTCTTACTAAAGAGTGAATGAGAAACTACTCACTCTTCATGGCTTTGGTAAAGTTAGAAAAGTGGGTGATGCTCATCTCTCAAAGTAGAGAAGTTACAAGGTAAAACACATTACACAAAGAGCTGATCTTCGACAAAGAATGAATGAATCACATTCCAACCTTCACAGTTTTGATAAAGCTCTTGAAAAATGGAAGAGTTTCACTCCTCTAAGGGAAGAAGGAAACTCAAACAATGGAAGTAAAATAAAATAATAATATAGTAAAAGAAAACAATACTTAAAGTAAAGGAAAACAATAAATTAAAAGAAAGCAATAATATAATAAAAGACAGCAATAATTAAAGTAAAAGAAAACAATAAATTAAAAAAAAGCAATAATTACTTTTAGAGGATTTTTCACTACCAAAAGATGGAGATTTACAAGCCCTAAGGGGTGGTATTTATTGGCAAAAAAGGAGGGCTTGAATTACACTTTGATCCCCCTTTGTTTTGAGGTTTGATAATTTGCACGCCAGTAGTTTGTAGCTTTGATAATTGACTCCCTAGTAGTTTATAGATTTGACGCACAAAATCCTGAAAAGAACAACAATTAATGCATTATCCATAATTCACACACTAATCCTAATTTGACTAGTTTAATTTTGTTTAACTAATACAATTGACCTATTAACTTAATTAAATTATGCATTAATTAGGGTTAATCACTAATAATGACAATATTTGTGGTTCTCATGTTCAGGTTAAGGATTATTTTTGTGACGTCATCTTTTCCTGGGATAGAGAGGGCCTGTTTTTTTCGGAAAGTAATAGAGAGGGTCTGTTTGTTACAGCTTTTCCTGTGTTTTTTTGTAGATGTCACGAAATCACCATATTGTTTTTGCAAAACTCTGGTGGTCTGAATGTAGTTAATCCTATAATTTGCATGGCTGTGATTTTGAGCGGTGGTACAACCTTTAAACACCCAGGCACTATTCTTTTAAATCCTACAGTCAGCCAGTGGGTTTGCTCATTGAGTGTACCCTGAGATAAATTAAACTGGCATGAGTAAGCCATATTAGGGTTGACAGATGTTCACTTGTGTAAGTAAACGTATTTGCAATGCTGTCAACCGCAATTTTTGACTGACGTGTGGATTATCTGGCAATTACATTTCTCAGTGATCTTTATGAAGGAACACGGATGGCCAGGGTGGCAGATATTCCCGCAATAAAACAAATTATACAGCCTTTGGAAGAATCTGGCATTTTAGTCAGGAGGACTGATGCAGAGGTTTTCACTCATTCTATACTATGTACTTTTGTTCATGTCATAATGTTTCTGGTTCAGTCACCATTAATTAGTACTTGTTTTATGTTCCCAGGTACTTGAAGCACTGGAATCATTCACTGTTGTGGAGAGAGAGGGTCATATCATTGGGTGTGCTGCTCTCTTTCCTTTTGAAAAGGAAAAGTGTGGAGAGGTCGCTGCAATTGCTGTTTCTCCTGAATGCCGTGGAGAAGGACAGGGGGACAAATTACTTGGTACAATAGCGAATAACTTAATATTTTAGTGTTTGTGTTACAATCTTAGTTCGTCAGATACTGATTATTGTAGATTGAGACCTTTTGGTGATTCATTGTTTTCCTTTTTCTTGTTATAATTGAATGTGAAAGAATATGAATATTTGGAAGTAGGTGTAATTATAAGGAGCCATCAGAATTTTGAAGGTGTAAAGGGATAATAACATTTCATATTTGACTTACCAAAAGGAATAGAGATATCTTTTGCATTCAGTTTTCCAGTTGAAGTTTTGTTTTCTGCCTTTAAGGAACATTGCAGCAAATTCAAATTTGTAAAAAGTTGGGGAGCCAAGATGTGCATAGAAAGGGGGACAGATGAGCTGAGCAATGACTTAGAACAGCAAGATCCTGTATTCTACATAGTCTTCTCAGCTTTCCTTTATTTCACGTAATTGAGGATAAATCATGTGCTTCTATAACAAAATCTGAGTTTCTACTTGAAGGTTTAGGCAATACTTTTGAAATTAGTATTAAAACAATATTCAGTTAGCAATGAGAGGGCAGGTGAATATAATTTTAAAGTTCTTTTTGGCCTGTAATCAATGCAGCTATATCAATTTTGAGTCAGAGGCACACATTTTTGCAGCTTTTGCATGTTTCTGGGAATAGACGACCTTGCTGGCTGTCCTTATGAACTTCTTCACTTCATTTGAATAATCATTTGACGATAAATTATTTGCAGATTACATTGAGAAGAAGGCTTCATCCCTTGGACTTCAAATGCTTTTCCTGCTTACAACCCGCACTGCAGATTGGTATTATTTTACCTATTTCTGCTTTGTCTTATTTTCAAATTCTGATAACTGGCATGTATATTTGTTTCCATTTTTGGCAAGTTTAAACTTTCTTGTTGACTAGACATATTGTGAATTTCATGTGATTTATCGATGGAACAAACATGAATAAAGCAACTGATTGTGACCAAAATGTCTAACCATTTGACTGCATATTGCAACCATTAGGAGCAACAGGCAGCAGATGTGTGTTCTTTTTTAACAGTAGCAGCAAGCAACTACAGCTTTGGTTTTAAGTCTGTTTCTTTGTGGGTTGGACTATATGCCCACATCTTCATTCCTTCCCATGTATTGCTTTATTTTTTATCAGTAAAGATGTTTGTCTCTCATAAAATAAAAAAAAGTTACTATAAGTGAAAAAAGGTACACCCCCTGGACCTTATTTCTTTTGTTATTCCCGCCTTTTGTGTGTTCATTGTGTGATGGGTATTATGTTTACTTTTTTGTCATTGGTTGAACAATGCCAAGAAAAAGGGCTGTTTTCATGATAATATTGTAATAACATTAAAAAAAAAAATTTATGGATGGTAGTTTCATTCACTATTTTCCTGCATTTCACATTCGTGATTCTGTGCGCAATGGAAAAGAAATTAAGAAACTTCCATCTGGTGTGCCAGCATTACATGAATGGGGAGTCCAAAACATGGCATCTTTTGGTATTTTAGTGCTCTGTACAATTGATCTCACTCTCTGCTTGACAGGTTTGTTAGGCGTGGATTTACCGAGTGTTCCATTGACTCCATACCAGAGGAGAGAAGGAAAAAAATCAATCTATCCCGTAGATCAAAATATTATACAAAGCAGCTGCCACCTGACTCGAGTGGAATTCGTTTCAATAGGGTGTATTCTTGAGCTTACACTACTGGCAATGTCTACATCTTCTCTCAGTGACTCCGCAGCAAGGGTTGAGTAAATGGTTCCAACCCTATCTTATGGTAAATGTTTCATTGCAAAAATAGTAGGAAGTGGCTCATGTTTTTAGCTTCTACTTGGGAGATTGGTTTTGCTTTGTTGAAATCATGGAACCAATGGTTTCTGTCTTCATCAAGCTTGTCAATCATTCAACGTGAATGTAAATCAAGAATTCAACCCAAAATAATGAATGCCTTAAAAACCAAACCTTTTGACCTGTTGCCCATGTTTAGCGTTTGGACTTTAGATTATCGTGTGATTCTTTCCATCTCACCTTAAGGAAATAAAGTATATATACCTAATTAACTTTGACAATGCTTTAAGAGTCCGGTTCAAGATGTGGTTTTGCACAAACTAATTGTCAGAATGCAGGGTAGATAGTATGGTACTGCACTGGGAACTCATGTTACTTCCCCAGTACATTTGAAGGCGGAGATAACCAGGAGAGAAGGGCATGCATGTGCCAACGCAGGAATGATGGGGTTCAATTCTGTTTCTCGGTTTTGTGCCAATGCTATGAATCGAACCCACAACACCATCCATCACAACGCATGACAACTGTGGTACAATACCTTTGATATTCTGTTTTCATAGTCATAGGAATTCAAGAAAAAACGTAAATATTTCCCGTGCATTGGAGGATAAATGCCTGCTAATTTAATCGTACGTGAAATGAGACAAAGAAAAAGTACACTGCCACAGTTTAACTTACTAAAATCAAGGAGCCTGTTCGAGAGAGTTGTCTTCAATGGAACCTCACCATTGCTAGTTGTAGAAAAAGTGCAACAAAGAAAATGCACATTGCATAGGATGACCTCTGCCTTGAGTATACCTAGAAGTTGATCTTCTCAAGGAAAATTTTCCAAATCATCTCTGGATTGGATCTACTGTGTATGGATCACTAGTAATAATTTGAATACTATAGTTCTGTATGCATTTCCAATGACAAGGTCATGTCCGTCACCGAGAATGGCTTAAGTTCCAAGAACCAATGTTACCAATACGGTCAGCAACCTACCACGGAAACAAGAAACAAGAAAGGCAAGATATGAATCAGTTTTCCTCTGTTTTCAGGGGCCCTTCCACTTGAAGTTGTCTGCGTATGCCTTGACCTGCAACCGGAACAAAAGTGATTCAGGCAATCGAAGTTTTCATGGTTACATAAAATAAATAAAT